AAATAAAAAAAGAGTGAAAAAACAATTTCCCCAATAGGGGATTAATAAATTAATAAAGTACATATCTTATCTTATCTTAATTAACTCAATGAAGACTGACGAGCTACAGATTTATAAATTAATTCATTTAAAATGCAACTATTTTTAAAACAACCCTTTCTTTACTGAATGCACTTTTAAATTTTATTTCAGGAGAAGTGAGAAATGACAGTATATTACAATAACTTGGCAGACAATGAATGTGCTTATATTCTAAAATCCTGCCTAGGATCAGTCAAGTTTTATGTACTGTACCTGAATATAACACTCTCCAGGTGGCACTGTTCGCTGTCCAACAATGAACTGCCAGAACAAGATGGCAGGAGCCCACAAAATAAACGACATGATCCATGCTGCAGCAATCATTAAACCTGCCATCTTAGTTGTCCTTCTTGTTGGATACGTTAGGGGTTTAGTCACACAGAAATAACGATCAAAGCTGATGATCAATAAATTCATCACTGAGGCGTTTGAGACAACATAATCTAAAGCTAGCCACAAGTCACAGACCACTGGCCCGAGTGGCCAGTAGCCAACAATGATGTAGACTGTGTACAAATTCATACTGAAAACACCAATGATCAAATCAGCGCATGCTAATGAAAACAGGAAATAGTTATTGACAGTTTGTAGGTGGCGGTTCACTTTGATAGAAAGCATTACTAAAATATTTCCTGTGACAGTCACAAAGCTCAGAGATCCTGTAACCAAGGCAATAAAAAACATCTCCAGAGCTTTATATGGGCTTCCTGTCCCCACTCCATCGTCCGCAGGAGAGCAGTATGTTGAATCATTAGTGGATGTGTTGCATGAGGTGTTGGAGATCAGCTCAGCTGATTGGTTGACCGATGACCCTGAAGGAAGAAAGAGGGAGATGAGAAGCTGGACAAAGCGAAATATGGCTTTAATCAACTTTAGCTGATGTCCTGTCATGGTTCTTGATTTCGTCTATGGTAGGAGGCAACAGGTTAAAATAACAACTTTACAAGTTTTCTAATATTTTGAGCTGTTGCAGTGATAATTACATTCATGGAAAAACTAAAGAGGTGATAGACTTTGGTAAAGTGAAGGGTTGAAAAGTATTGCTTGAAATTGCAAGGAAACCAGTTGGAATGTAAAAACTTAAAATTTCTTGGCACTGATGCTAATCTCAAGTGGTAGAACAATGTTCACAAAATGTTAAAACTGGGTCATTAGTTTTAGACACCGGTTGTTGAGAATTGACTAACTTTACAGTTATGTTTGGTAGCCTGACTACTGCTGAAAAGAATGTAAAGCCAGTGATCTAAATGAGTCAACTCTAGTTTGTCGCTTCATTCAAATGACATACTCGTTTCACTGCAACATATTCATCTCCCCCCTGCATACACCTGTAGAATCTGAGTCTATGTTCCCCTGGGGGGCATGCATGTCGGTGTCCATGCTTGATTGACAGCAGCTGGCAGGTTGAGCCTGGATAGGAGAACGAGTGACAATGGAAACAAGCTTGTACTGTAGCTTATAAGCCATGGGCTGACAACGTATTGTTAGCAGTGATATTGAAGAGTAAGGACTACAGCAGCATCTAAAGGGACTGAAGTGATATTTTTGCAGGTAAGAATTTATGCTGTTTAATGTGCTGCAGCTGAGCAGCTAATTAGCTAATCTCGCATGCAAACTGATGTTAACAGACCAAAGCCACCACAGGCTAAAATATGGCCACCCCACTGGCCACCAGACACAGCACCATATTTAGGGTTGCTTATTCTTTTCTTGTAGAGCCCTTTTTCCTCTGCCGCAGATCCACTGTCTGAACTTTCAACTTCACCTCATGGCCTTCATAAGCAAATGTAACTGGAGTGATGTATGACATTGCATATGAACTGACAAGGACCCTGGACAAGAAACTGAATGAACAGCAGAAACAGACATCATTAAATGTCTGTACACACCGCAACAAAATCACATACAGCATCTACTGGGAAGAGGTCAAAGGTCATGGACCAGGACAAAGCTGACAACTGGAGAAACATCAAGGAGGACATTCACACTTCCTTTTCTTATATAACCAACATTGAACACTCTCACGTGATAACAGGAGCTTGCTTCATTCACTTATACAGACTGTTAAATGTGGTTGAACATTACAAAAAAAGCTAGGAAGTAAACCTTTGAGTTTATTTATTATTTGAGATTATTTTAAGACAGTGTTTCATGTCAAAGCATTTGTATTGGATTGAGATCTTCCGAGCCATTGATGTGATCTGAAGTTTATCGTATGTACATGGGACGATGCTTAAATTAGTTATCCTGGTTATCTGACTAAACTAAAAGCTGTGAATGGCTGCGCTCATATGGTAAATGGACCTGTAC